TGTGTTGCCGCTGTGGTATGATTTGTCCTTGTGTGTTGACGCTGTTGTATGTTTTGTCCTTGTGTGGGGACGCTGTACATGATACAGGAATAATTTGTCCTTGTGTGTTGCCGCTGTGGTATATTTTGTCCTTGTTTGTTGACGCTGTGGTATATTTTGTCCTTGTTTGTTGGCGCTGTGGTATATATTGTCCTTGTGTGTTTTCGCTGTGGTATAATTGGTTCCAATGTGTTTACGCTGTGGTATAATTGGTCCCTGTGTGTTTACGCTGTGGTATAATTGGTCCCTGTGTGTTTACGCTGTGGTATGATTGGTCCCTATGTGTTTACGCTGTGGTATACTTGGTCCCTCTGTGTTTACGCTGTGGTATAATTGGTACCTGTGTCTTGACGCTGTGGTATAATTGGTCCCCGTGTGTTCACGCTGTGGTATAATTGGTCCCTGTGTTTTTACGCTGTGGTATAATTGGTCCCTGTGTCCTGACGCTGTGGTATAATTGGCCCCCGTGTGTTTACGCTGTGGTATAATTGGTCCCTATGTGTTTACGCTGTGGTATAATTGGTCCCTGTGTGTTTACGCTGTGGTATAATTGGTTCCTGTGTGTTAACGCTGTGGTATAATTGATCGCTGTGGTATAGTTGGTCCCTGTGTGTTTACGCTGTGGTATAATTGGTCCCTGTGTGTTAATTATACCACAGCGTAAACACACCGGGACCAATTATACCACAGCGTCAAGACACAGGGACCAATTATACCACAGCGTAAACACAATGTTTACCACAGCGTAAACCTTGTGTTTACGCTGTGGTATAATTGGTCCCTATGTGTTTACGTTGTGGTATAATTGGTCCCTGTGTGTATTATATCTATGTGGTTTGCCACTGTATTTTATTCTGGGCCTGTGTTATGTCATTATGGTGTATATTGTCCCCGTGTGTCTCAACAATGGGTAATACCAAAATTTGTTTTCAAGAAATCACGTATTTACATTATGTGACTGATTCCGTGTTTATTGAAGATTACCGGAGTGTATACTATAACGATAATATGTTAAATAGCTATCTTGAACATCACAACTATAACGACAAGATTTATTCATTTGAGATTTGCTACTGTAACACCAAATTATAGAGCTGTTCATGTACTATAACGACAGAATGAAAATCAGTATATTTGTGTTAAATACATGTAAGTGTAAATGTAAATTTATAATCCTCCTATGATAAATCCATTAAATTGTGTTTGTTTTACGAAAAACTACCAGCTAAAAAACTAAACAAATCAATCTTTGATTCGCCCCTTATTAACATACACTGATTTTCACTGTCTCAGAACGTATCTATTTTGCAGCCCACTTGCACAGTATAAGGAACTAAACATTCCAAAGTTTATTAATTAATCACCTAAATTATATCAAAACAAAATTTAGACGTAAATCTATCATTTATCATCCGAGGAATTATCTCAGAATTCGTGGTAACTAGGAACACTGTGATGTATTATGACAACATCCGTGTTTGGGTTGTTTGTGGTGACGGAATGACACGTGTTCTATATCAGGGACGTTGTTTAAACGTATACCTCTCAGGAAGTATGGATAAACCCTTTATAACAATCAACTTCTCAGAAAGTGATACACCCGTTACATCAGTCATATCAACCATTGTGTAGGATGGAATCTATCAGAATAAACATTAATTTTGCATTCGTTCTTCATTTTTCTAAATTCTGTATGACAAAACAGCAGCCACATACAATTTCATCATTATTAACAAACAACGCAAATACATATATGTAAGCAGTATGACTAATGTACAATGAAATAAACATCATAAACGTAGCATTACAATTACAGTATAAATAACAAACAATACAATATGCAGGTTGAGGAAGTTCCATGGTCGCCTGTATGATTTTTATGGACAAGTTCCATGGTCGCCTGTATGATTTCTATGGACAAGTTCCATGGTCGCCTGTATGATTTCTATGGACAAGTTCCATGGTCGCCTGTATGATTTCTATGGACAAGTTCCATGGTCGCCTGTATGATTTCTATGGACAAGTTCCATGGTCGCCTGTATGATTTCTATGGACAAGTTCCATGGTCGCCTGTATGATTTCTATGGACAAGTTCCATGGTCGCCTGTATGATTTCTATGGACAAGTTCCATGGTCGCCTGTATGATTTCTATGGACAAGTTCCATGGTCGCCTGTATGATTTCTATGGACAAGTTCCATGGTCGCCTGTATGATTTCTATGGACAAGTTTCATGGTCGCCTGTATAAATTCTATGGACAAGTTCCATGGTCGCCTGTATGATTTCTATGGACAAGTTCCATGGTCGCCTGTATGATTTCTATGGACAAGTTTCATGGTCGCCTGTATGATTTCATCGCGATATAAGCTATCCCTTTGTGTGGTAGGAGAGTCGATGCTTTTTATTTTGATCATCAGTCTTACCTGTTTTCTTTCTACTACACAGGTTGTCGCTATGAGGCATCATCAATAACGAAGAAAACATATCCTTCCGGAACACCTGGTCCTATATTCCCTGTACTTATTTTAGGGTCTCCATGTAAATCTCTCCTCTGTTCGTGGTTTTATCGGTTCTGAGTTCTAATTACGGTTTAGTTTACAGTTCGGTATTCTTGTTTTGTTTGCTTGTTGATTGGTTTCACATATTTACATTGAGATGAGGAGACTTATGTACTCATCCAAGTACATCCAGATTGTCTGATAGCATCGAATTAACATATCTGACGCAATTTGACCGATTATAACAACGTTTAACCATATACTGCTTGCATATCATTGGACTGTTCTACGTCCACGCTCCTGTAACGCTAAGCGTTATCGCGTTATGAATGATTATCTTTGATTATTAAACGCCTTGTAATGTTTTGAGATTGTGACGTTGAAAGCGTTATCTTTCTAAAACACAACAAGTTCGTTGTTCCTGAGACATGGCTTAGTGATTGAAATTATTTTAATCATTTTTCTGAGATAGTTTAACATTGAGTGTCGTTAGATTATACCTTATTTTGATATTTAGCATTTATGTTTGCTATTATATTTAAGAGAATTGTTAATCACTTTCGTCATTTAGGGATACATGTAATGGACGACTGCTTATAGAACAATACAAATAGTAAGCCGAAAGTACAGAAAAAAACCTTCACACTTATTTGTGTATATCCAAACAGATATACATGTATGCGTGACTTATGAAAAAAATAACCGAACATACACTGTATATCTCAATTTGCAAGTACACGTGTCTGGTAAACATATTCATGATAAACAGATATCTGAAATGATTTGTTAAACATGATTGTGCCAGACATTGTTAAATACAGAATATAAATGGGGGTAGGAATATGAAAAATCACCACTTCAGTTTAAATTGCCCCTTTTCCTTGTTATCTCTATTCTAAAGTCCACGTAATACCTGTGTATACATCATGTTACTAATGATATGTCACTGTGCACGCCGTGCACCTTATGACGTCATACAAGGAAGACTTCATCATTCCCGACTTGGCCACCCGTTACTATAGATACCAGGGCCGCCATGTTTTTGTGTTGACTGTATGTACTGGTATCTATAGTCCTGGCACTGTCACTGGAGGGGGCTATAGGGCTGGGAGGGGGCTATAGGGCTGGGAGGTAGGGCTGGGAGGGGGCTATAGGGCTGGGAGGGTGGTGCTAGTGTTTGTCAATACCTGGCGGGGATGTCTGTGAGCCCCGTTGCTGTGGAGAGCTACGAATCCAGTAGTGTTACGTGGAATTGATGCTGTCCGGTCCCGTTACTAGGGAGAGGCTGATTACAGGTGTCGCTGGCTGTCTCGAGGGTTTGTGTTTAGGTGTGCACTGGCAGATAAAATCAACAAGTCACTTTAGCAGGGCACCGCACTTGTTTGTTAAGTCATGTTTAACAAACTTATCTATCCCGTACACTTTACAATATCAGGATGAGAAGGCATGTCGGCTGCGACCAGCACGGCTATAACTTTTCCAGGGAAACGCTGTTTTTAAATTATTCAAAAATGAAGACGGATGTAATATAACGCCGCTATTATCGTCCTGTTTACACAGTTATGGCATGCATTTTAGTCAAACTAGAGCTTGTTTGGGAGACATGTTTTCTTTCTCTGTCAAGCTGCTTTCATAGTAGTTTGTCTATTTCATTTAAAATTGAAATGGTTGATAAGCTTGAAATAACAATGGTATACGAATGAGGAGAAAATGAGTGTCAACTTATGCTTTTTTAAATGACTGTTTTAAACCCCCAAACATTAACTAGGACAAGCGAATGATTGCTGTTCTTTTCACATATTTCACTGATATCTAATATCACTAATAAATTGTCATTTGTAAAGTTTGTTTAATAGGAGCTATATCGAGAGTAGACCATGAGAAGTAATCTTGAAGTAACATAATATTTAACATTTCCTTGTAAGAACTATTTCATTTCGCGTTGTCACCATTTGAAGTTAATTGGGTGCATACCTATGTCTTTTTGTTGATAAAACGTTTATTGACTATGTGATAAATGATAAAATAATGCATAGGCATATTTGTATTGCGTTATTGAGTAATAATTTAAAACATTTTATGTGGGAAGTTAACATATTTGTACTTTGGAGCAATCATGATGGCGACAGGGGTCTCTGAGACTGCGTGTCGTACTGGGGTGCCCACCAGGTGACGTCCAGATAAGAGACGCTTTCCACATAGCTTGTGTATTGTGGTCTATATATTGACAGAAACAGGCCAATCAGATGTTAGGTACTCCCAAGGGTGGAGCCGTGCACGACAGAAAGAGAGGACGGCAGAGAGAGCGGCTACTGTATACGTATCAGACAATGTGTAGGAAGTGAAATGAGTTGACATCTGAATACCTGTGCGATACACCTGAGTTACGGGCGTTAACCTTCTACAGGTGAGAATCTATATAAATAGGTCCCCGACACAGTCTCTCATCATTCTGCCATAGAGGGCTCATGTGACAGTTTCAGGCTTGCAGAGTGTTAGCACTGCCTGTGTGTAGCTATCGCCAGAAACAGTTGATGTTAAAGGATTAGTACACAGAGTTTTGTAAGCATTACAAAATCAGTATAATGCATCTTCTTTCGTGTCTTCTCATTCTCCTGCCAGCAGTTGTGTCCACTTCTCCATTTGGCTGCCAGCAGGCTGTCAACTGCCACCTGCCGAGCTGTTTCTGTAGCACATTCGAACACTTTATGAATCGCAGTGATATTCCACAGATGGTGTATTTTGGCCTAGACGACGCCGTGACCGGATCCGCCTCTGGTTATTACAAAACCCTGTTCCGACGTGACCGAAAAAATCCGAACGGTTGTCCAATAACTCCGACATTATACATCTCCCACAAATATACCCAGTACGACGTAGTAAGAGAGTATCGCGAGCTCGGTTACGAGCTGGCCGTGCATAGTGTCACGCATACCAACATTAACACAGGGCCGAAAGTATTGCAAGAGGCACGCGATCAGAAGGAAAACATCATCAACCTTGCTGGTGCGAAGCGAGAAGACGTTGTTGGCTGGAGGAGCCCCTTCCTACAGACGGCGGGAGATGTTCAGGTGGAAATGCTGCAGCGTCTGGGGTATGAATACGACATTTCACTGACCAACAAACGTGCACACATGCGTGACAGTAGCCCCTTCCCCTTTACACTGGACTATGGTTGGCAATATAATTGCCAGATTCGGCCATGTCCCACACAAAGTCACAAAAGCTTTTGGGAAGTCCCTGTAAACGCATTGCGGGATTTCAAAGACCAATATTCGTGTGCTTATGTTGACGGTTGTTACAACAGACCAGCTACCGAGGCCCAGGCCTACAAGTACATAATGGACAATTTCCTCAGTCACTACAACGGTAACAGGGCGCCTTTGGGATTCAACATGCACTACGCCTGGTTCATGTCGCCAAATAATTTACGTGCCATGGACAGGGCCATACACGACATGATGCAGTACCACGGGGTCTACATTATCAACGTTAAACAGATGCTAGATTGGATGAAATATCCGACTAAAATTTCTGAACTTTCCAGTTTTGAACCCTGGGGATGTGGTCTAACGACTCCAAAACCAACTACAACTACTACAACGACGACGACAACAACACAAACAACAACGACACCAAGACCAACAACGACGACAACACCGAAACCAACGACGACAACACCGAAACCAATGACGACAACTACAACAAAAACAACAACTACAACACCGAAACCAACGACGACAACACCGAAACCAATGACGACAACTACAATAAAAACAACAACTACAACACCGAAACCAACGACGACAACTACAACACCAAAACTAACAACGACAACAACGCCACCAAAACCAATTACAACAACAACACCGACATCAATAACGACGACAACAACTACAAGACCAAAACCACCGACGACGACAAGGATACAACTACCATCAACAACGAAACCACGCTCACCAGGTCCTATACCTAGCGATAGTTGCCAACAGGAAGTAAATTGCCACCTGCCGGATTGTTATTGTGCTGGAACTAATATACCGGGAGGACTTCCGGTATCAGACACTCCACAAATGGTGTTCTTTACCATGGACGGTGCGGTTAATTATCAGGTTTATGGAAAGCTAAGTAAACTACTTCCGGTTAATCGGAAGAACCCTGACAATTGTCCGGTAAGTGCTACATTTTTTGTCTCTCAGTCAGGTACGTTTAGAATGTACCTTAAACTTCTGAAGGACCGTGGAATGGAGATTGCATCCAAGGGCTATAACGGGGTACATTATAACGACCAGCATGTTCTTAACGATGAAATGTATACACAACTTTACGACTTAAGTAACTTGGACATCAAACCGAAAGGTTGGAGGAGTCCAAACTTAAAGCCATTGGGGGATGGTCAGTTTGAAAAAGTCATGAAATATGGTTACCTTTACGATTCTACGTTAACTGCCCCCCGAGAGCACACGGGTGATAAGATCTGGCCATTTACATTAGATTACGGGTGGAAGGAATCGTGCGTGATACCAGACTGTCCCAAGTCTGCCTATCCCGGGCTTTGGGAGGTCCCTAACACACCTATCATAGACTACCGTAATCAATATATCTGTAACTATGTGGACGGCTGTATGTTCTCTCCCCCTACAGCTAACGACACATTCAATTTCCTCTGGAACAATTTCAAATCTCACTATCAAACAAACAAAGCTCCGTTTGGAATACATCTCCGCCATATCTGGTTTTCACATCCATTTTTTACCAAAAACTTAGAGGGGTTGCGAATGTTTGTTGACAAACTGAGTACAATGAATGACGTTTATATTCTGTCAATCCAGAATATAATTGAATGGATGAAAAAGCCGACGTCTTTACAAAACCTCCATGTGAGCTCTCCTTGGAACTGTTAATACCACTGTCCCGGACCTTTTATACAGCAGTACTATTCTGCAGGGTCCCAAGTGTAAGTTTTCGTTTCCTAGCGTTCACAATGGTTATCCCGTCGACATAGTCTCCTATTGTCATTGTTTATAATAAGCAACGTTAATTTGCAGTCATATACTCAGTATACGATATTTGAGGTAAATTATTTTGTGGTCCGTTAAGTTATAAACAAAGAGAAAATATGAGGGAAACAACAGCTTATATGTATTAGGACTGAAGGACATTTTAACTTGCAATATGCTTTCAGTACGCATCTCCTTACATATTTACATTGTTAGGAGTCAGTAAGATATGCACGAACTAAGATATGCACGAACTAACAAAAACTGTATGGCCTGCTGTGTCTTAAGACACAACACATCACAAACTGGTGTCATTCATAACACAGATGTATAATTAAGGTGCTGAACAGGTCACATACTTTGCATTTATCCATGACCATTTATCCATGACCATTAATCAAAATGTTAATTTATTTAGACAAATGTCAAGGTGTTTATTGTGAGTTGTTTGTTGTCGTTGCTTATGGAAATGTATTCGTCCCGTGTGATAAACGCTTTCTTAATGTACTGTATTTACAATCAAATTGTAAATCAAAATATACATGTGTTGTAGTTTAGTTCGTCTGAAATCCATTTACAACCAAGGCTGTGGCAGTAAAAACGGTTTCTTTCCTGTTACCTTAGTATACTTGTGAACACTGAAGTTGATAACGAACGTTCTTCTACAAAATGTTTCTGTTACAGATATAGAGATTACTATAAGGTCATTTTTTCTTTAAATCCTATAACGAGCTGCACTATATGACCATAAGTATATCTTAATGCTAAATCGAATCAGATTATGCTTTCAATTTTGTACCAAAATGATATTATTCCGAGCATCCAGCATTTCTTTTAAACACATTAGGATTGTTTTGTATTTACTAGTCTACGAAAACCATTTGTTAAACATGAATTAGTGCTGCTATATATTTATATTTATATGGAACCAAGACTTATGGTATTTCAGTGTGATAGAATGTCAAATAGAGAAGCCTTGAAGTAGTCCCGACTATCAGACATGTACACCAAGCCTGATGTGTGTTTGGTATCACTTCTGTTAAATAGTTCCATACATTACGATCGAGACGTTGTTTATGATGATACTAATTTACACTGCCTTGGCTAGGTATAGGTTGTGTTTATTATTTACCACTGGGAATAAGACAATTCAAACATTGAGCGACTGGTATTTGTGGATCTATGAATTTTTAACGGAAAGACGATGCTATTTTAAACTGACATTCATTATCGTTCAAAGTTAATTGATAAAAAAAAATGCTTGATTTAATATATCTTATAACAAATTAACAATTGTCTAATATGAAGGAACGAATCCATTGGATTAGATTATATCAAGTCAGATATAAGTGACCTAATTGTGAAGCTACAATGTCTGTCCTAATGTCTGTCTGGTGGCAGGTCATTAATGTTCCAAGGTACAAAACCAGTTCTCAGTATAGGCCATTGCTATTATTCTCCAGTATGATAGAAATTGTATGCTTTAATTGTACATTTTACATGTGAAATTGTATGCTCAATTGACATTGATTAAACACGCAGAAGCTTGTTACAAATTAGTATTTTTAATGCCGTAACAGAATAATAATTATATGATAATTTCCTTATGCCTTTTTGATTTAATTTAAATGTTAATTATTCATGTACATGTAAGCATTGCATAACAGTTTGTCATTTAACATCTGATGATTCATCAAAACATGTTTTGTACAAGAGATAAGATTCTAATAATACACGGTTCGTATTTACAATGTGCATGATGTGTCTGGAAATTCTACAGGATTTTCCTTATCTTCTGTGGTGTCATAATTTAATGAAATAAATGCTTTTAAGAGAGAGATGTCTTTTTTTCTTTATATAATAGAAACGGTGATAGGAAGGTATTCAAGAAATATAATATTGCTCTTAACTCTTTTTCTTTGAAAGTGATAACAATCATGTTTTGTTTTGTGTTAGGAAAGGCTTTATTTGTAGTCATTTTGTTCAAATTATAATAATATTTAGATCTATTATACCATTAATATTTTTATTGTACGAAACTGACACTATGAAAAGTTGTGAATCAGTTAGATTCAAATCGGTTAATATGAAATCTGTTAAATGAAATAACAATCCCACAGAGATGCTTTTAATGATACGCTTCAATTCAGTTTGCCGCATAAACTTTTGTGTTTTGTGTAATTTGCCAAATATTGTAAAAACGACTAATGAGCCTCTCATTCTCTTTCTAATATTGATATCCCACAGTACGCTATATGTCAGTTCCTTGTCAAGCCCTGACATACCAGTGCTTAACCGGGTACAGCATAGGAAAAGTGCCTATCACAACGTCTAATTATTGGAAAGAATATAAATGTCCATTTATAATAATCTAAAAGCATTTCTCTTAAGATTCCAAAAGCGAGAATGAATTCAGATATATAATGTTGTGGAGGTTCAAAATAGGCAGATCTAAGCAACAAAAGCGTATTTTGGTCATTGTAGTAGACTTGTGGATGACAAAGTCATATTATCTGTGGAGTCCTCAACGTTAGCAAAAACATCATATAAGTAAAATATGTACAACATCGTCAACGTACCGAGACAACAGCTACAGAGAGCGTGAACCATCGTAAGGCTAAACATCGTCAACGTACCGAGACAACAGCTACAGAGAGCATGAACCATCGTGAGGCTAAACATCGTCAACGTACCGAGACAACAGCTACAGAGAGCATGAACCATCGTGAGGCTAAACATCGTCAACGTACCGAGACAACAGCTACAGAGAGCATGAACCATCGTGAGGCTAAACATCGTCAACGTACCGAGACAACAGCTACAGAGAGCATGAACCATCGTGAGGCTAAACATCGTCAACGTACCGAGACAACAGCTACAGAGAGCATGAACCATCGTGAGGCTAAACATCGTCAACGTACCGAGACAACAGCTACAGAGAGCATGAACCATCGTGAGGCTAAACATCGTCAACGTACCGAGACAACAGCTACAGAGAGCATGAACCATCGTGAGGCTAAACATCGTCAACGTACCGAGACAACAGCTACAGAGAGCATGAACCATCGTGAGGCTAAACATCGTCAACGTACCGAGACAACAGCTACAGAGAGCATGAACCATCGTGAGGCTAAACATCGTAAGAACCGCAGGCTTACCAGGTGGCCCAAGGTCAAGTCCTTCCTGCATCGCATGTGGCGATCATGATAATATTTGACCTGTAAGATATCGCATTCTATCAACTTGATAAAACTGATAACTTTCACACTGACGGATGTCAAAAGTGATATTGTGTAAAAATAAAAATAAATCATTACGTATTTACTATTTAAACAACACTTTCTAATTACTCATTGAAAGCCGATCTTTTTTTCTGTTCTGGTACAGATGAAGCGACAGTAGAATACGAAGTTGTTTTGGTACATCTTTGCTACAAACACATAGGTTTTAATTTACCCACACAATTGATACCATTTATGCAAGACATCCTTACCAAACAACAGTAGAAACGGTAGAGTATTCAGTACCACAATACAAATGACCCGCAGCGCTAGCCTTGTTAGTTGTCAGATGTGACGTCATAAGAATATGGTGCCAAAGATTGCGCTGTTATAACACCAAGCGTTTTGATGCAGAAACATTTTCGTAGTTGTATGTACTGTTGGTTTAGAATGTAACAAAACAAATCTTATGGTCCTTCTTTTGAATAGCACATACTGACATTTCTACTCGTGCTTCTCGCGAGAAAAGTCGGTATTCTGCCATACTCTGTGTTTCATCCATCAAACGTCATAAAGTAATTTGTAACGATCATGTTTTGCTAAATTCTTTAATCCAATATTTAAAATGATAGTTTTGGAGATCGACATTGACTTGTAGAGTTATGATTTAGGATAGACATGTTGACTTGTCGACATTGACTTGTAGAGTTATGATTTAGGATAGACATGTTGACTTGTCGACATTGACTTGTAGAGTTATGATTTAGGATAGACATGTTGACATGTCGACATTGACTTGTAGAGTTATGATTTAGGATAGACATGTTGACATGTCGACATTGACTTGTAGAGTTATGATTTAGGATAGACATGTTGACATTGACTTGTAGAGCTATGATTTAGGATAGACATGTTGACATTGACTTGTAGAGTTATGATTTAGGATAGACATGTTGACATTATTTTAAATAAATGCAACATAGTGACAATAAAAAAAAAGATTATTTGATTTCGACCTTTTTGATTTCGACCTTTTTGATTTCGACCTGATTGGATAAAATGTACCAACGAGCTCATACGCTATAAGAACGGTACTGACTTGGTCAAAATCAAAACAATGGATTTACTAGTGTACCATGTTATTACATGTACCACATGTCTGTACAAACTGGCAATTATACATACAAATGTTATAATATCATTGTGTATAAATATATTTTACCATCAATTGTTATAATAATATATCGCTATAATTTAATACATTAAAAACACCTAAAATACCTTTTCTGGCAGCTCTTTTAAATGTGACACATCACTGAACTAATAAATGTGTCTGAGTATGAACTGTCAGCGCGTGGTGGCTTTAGTATATCTTTACAGTATGACCCACTGTGTTAACTAAAAAACATTGTACTTAGTCAACTCATCAATCATCCTCTCCCTAAACGGTCATGTTAGTTCCGCTTTTAAAGTTTTAAAAGAAGGTTTTGCGTTATCAATATATTGTTTTAAATATGCATGTCAGATACGAAATGAAATTGAGCGATTTTGACTGACATGATATAAATATTTCACTCATAAATACGATTGGTTTCATCACCCCCAGTGCATAGGTTATTTTTGGACAATTTTACATTTTCATGCGATGTGACATCATATCATCCTTTTTTACTACCAACTCATGATGATCAGTTAGGATGATTTAGAGAGTGTATTCCTTAGTTGAACAATTTCGTTCGCTGAAGTTTTTAGAATGCATTTTGAAATTACTCTTTACTTTAAATACAAATCTGAATCTAACATTTTTCGTGGGATATCCCCCATACACATTTAATAAATGAATCATATCCAGTGAACTATATTGATTTATGATTCTATCGATTGAAGTAATTATTTCAAAAATATTCGAGGCGAGGGGATAAACGAAGAATTCAATACAAAATTAAACAAAAAATATCAAAGTTAGTGATCCGTTCATCGGGCTTACAGATGTTACTATTTTATAATGCTGACAACAGGAAGATGGTGGTTGTTAAGATCATGAAAACATCAAAAGATTGTCAATGATCATTACAATCAATTAGTGTATTGTTTCCTTGTTAAAGGATATAGAAGGCTAATTAATGTTTGATATCTGTCTGTATTACCACGCCAGTAAACGTCTGACTGTCGACGACGGCTGTGTATGACGAGAGAGACATGTCCGTTAATAGTTTTCAAAAAACGTCCCTGTACAGTACGACTTTATATCCAACCCTTATCTGCCCCGGTCTGTCAGTACTGATTGACTATTTCCTACTTGACAGAGGCTGTGACTGGAAATTTAATTACCAATTCGACTGTGAAATTAGGTACAAATGCGTGTCCCAAATTAACATGTCTATAATGACAATTAAAGCGGCGAAATAGTTCTCTGACAAATGCTGACTTGCAATTTATACATACTAATATAGACGCCAAGATAAAAGTTTGATATGGAGAAATATTCGTTATCATACCTGACGTTTACCGTGAATGTCCAGATAACTTTTATCATACATTTGTTAAACAGAATTTTTTTTTGTCATACGAATGTTACAACTAACTTATGCAAGGTCTAACAGTTTCGTTGTTTTAAGATGTTTGACGCCGAAGCAACAGAAAAAGGAATTCTCTAATTACCCACCCCCCAGGTGGCAACAACAAACACCAATAGGCTGTTCACAACGCACCGGCCTGCACCAGTGACTGTTTAATTATTAATAATAATTTCAAACAACATTTTACAACAATTTGTCATGTATATTTTATCCTACACATCTACAATGTATCTCCTAGACATTTACCACTATTTTTTCAGAAAAATAAAATTTTCTATACCTCCGTCCTGTCCCGTGCGTTAACCTGAACTGAGGTCCCAGCAACACTTGCTGCACGTGCTACACATGCCCTACAGGTGTCGCCACCTATCGGGGTACCATTAGAGAAAACAATTTCGCGCTGATTCCTTGTAGTCAACCGCGCGAAATATAAAATATATATTCACGTACATGTGCAACTAGACACGTAATATAAATATATCCAGCAGGAATACAATACACACATATATCAATCGCTCTCGCTATCCTTGTGATGAAAATATGCATACCTTGCCATGTTGGATCAAACGTTACAGAGTTATAATAATCTGTCTAGAATAAATCATTCAGGCATCGGTGGAATAAAAACAGAATGAAGAAATAGTGTAATAATGTAATCTGACCACCCATCCATCACCGTATACAGTCGGCACATTGTTTCACGGGAATATTTGAATCATATCTCATTAATATAAACGGTCGTTTAGTAAGTTACTATCAAGTAAAATGTAAAGATAAGACATCATCTTCGTAAAAAGTGGTTCATGAATAAAATGGATGTTTAAAGTCTGCATGAGGATGAACATATCGATGGGATATCACAACACTAAACGATTTGCTACAAGATAATAATACATATATACATGATAAAATTATTGTCTATGCCCTAGCTATTAACTGGGTACACAGATAATCTAATGAGTAAGATCAGCATACTTTAACGATTGGTACAGAAACACCATTGTTAGGATTAAACAAACACACATTTAGATATATA